AGAGAATCTTCTGGAAAATCTCCTCGGTGATTTAGAGGAGTAACAACAGAAAACACCTGGGGAGAGAGCAGGAGAGCAAAAACAAAGACTTTATCTCACCGTAAATCTCTTTTATAGGGCCAGATTCCTCATGTATGACCTTTCCTTTAGACTCTGGCCCAGAGTCAAATACTCACTCACTCACATACTTAAATACTCGCTCAAATACTCACATACTCAAATACTCACTCACTCACTCACATACTCAAATACTCACTCACATACTTAAATACTCACTCAAATACTCACATACTCAAATACTCACTCAAATACTCACATACTCAAATACTCACTCAAATACTCACTCACTCATACTTAGATACTCACTCAAATACTCACATACTCAAATATGCATTCACTCACATACTTAAATACTCACTCAAATACTCACATACTCAAATACTCACTCAAATACTCACATACTCAAATACTCACTCATACTTAAATACTCACTCAAATACTCACATACTCAAATATGCATTCACTCACATACTTAAATACTCACTCAAATACTCACATACTCAAATACTCACTCAAATACTCACATACTCAAATACTCACTCAAATACTCACTCATACTCAAATACTCACTCAAAGACTCACATACTCAAAATTCATCATTTGTTTAAATACTCACTCAGATACGTTCTTACTCAAATATTCTCATACTTAAATACTCACAAATATGTACTCATTCACTCACACACTCACTGATACTCACATACTCAAATACTAGAATACTCACTCACTCACTCACTCACTCACGGTTAACAAGATTGTCCAGAAGATGGAGAGAGAACCTCTAAAAAGCGTAATGGGGCTGATAAAAAACAAGATTCAGAGAAATGAAGAGCCAGTCAGATTGTTGATGAGTGACGTGGGGCTGATTATGTGACGCCCACAGCCACTCTGTGAGATTTAACACTGAAACGCACACCGAGCAGGAAATAACAGCTGATAAACTGTTATTATTACGTAATTTATTACGTATAATTTCTCTCTTCGCACCTCAGCCTGCGTGAGTTTGAGCAACACGGCCCCAAAGTGGCCAGCAGGTTTCAGCTCACTGTACTGTAAATACAGCGTTCACTTAAACAGCTGCTGCAGATTAAAAAATAAAAATACGAACTCCATTCAAAACAAACACACATGGCTCAAAACAAACACACATGGCTCTGTACTGCTTTCAAATTACTGTGAAGATCAAAACACATTATTATTATTATTATTATTATTATTATTATTGTTAACAGTTGTAATTGTTTTTTACATTTTTGTTGTCGCTGTTGTCGGAAGAAAACCTTGTATCTCCAAAATGGTAACTTTACAGGAGAAGGAAAAAACATACTGTACTTTTAATGTAAGTCAACGGAACCAGAATTTTTCCAAGTCATTTTCTTTTGGTCCATATATATATATATATATGTGTGTGTGTGTGTGTGTGTGTGTGTGTGTGTTTGTGTGTATATATATATATACATCTGCAGCCCTGATGTAATATATTGCACTGTTGTGGAAATATTTTACACATTTGAATCAAGTCAGCTCAGCGTATTGTTGTTTTTAGTGATTTAGTGACCGGGCCGGGCTGCTGTGTGTGGTTTCTCAGTGCTGTGTGTTAATCGTTATATGACCTGCACACTGTTATCACACAGCTGTCCTGCTGCATTAATAGTGTTATTCATTATGAGTGTTTGTGTTATAAATGGATGCAGAGGCTCAGCTGATTTACCGAAGGCCCTGTTTACTGTTAATATGCTGGTTGTTAGCACTGTTTTTAAGATCCTCGTGATCCTGTTTTTCTGCCCTGCTATCAGATTAAACACGGTCTGAAAGCAAGTCAGCCGGGAATATGATGGTGGTGATGATGATGATGATAATGCAGCTATTTGCAGGCAGTAGATGTCCTCACTGCTGTTTTTTTGCGGATATTTTCCACATTTTAGAGCAAATTGTGAAATAAATTCTCCAGTAATGGAAGCTTGTGCCAAATGCTGTTAGCATAGCTAAAAATAGAGGTGGGCAGTTCAGCGATTGTGACTATACTACATACTACATACTCAAACACTAGTTAGTATTAGTATTAAGTACGCAGTTGGGGCGCAGCGTTAGTCTATAAACTGGAAATATAAGCAGGTCTATTAAAGATCACTTAAAGGGGAAGTCCATCACAGCCTTCCTTCTGCATTCTCCAGCGAGAAACAAAACACTTCAAAATAAAAGCCCCCAACGCAGCAGGGGTTTTTCAAAAGTTACTCTTCCCTTCAGGGTGCACCATCAGAAGGTTGATTTTTGTAGAAACTGCTGCAGCGTCAGATGTGTTGATGCTCACGTGTTTCCTTTTGGCCTGTGGAGTGTCCTTTAGGGTTAGGGTTTTGGGTTGGGGGAGTTTTAATGGTTAAAGTAGGATCTGGATGTTTGTAAATCTACAGTAATTTAATGTATGTCTGCTCTCCTGCAGGTGTCTGTGTGCGGTGGTCCGGCCTGCGGGGGTTTCGGTTCTCTCTTCATGCTGCCTGCGGTCTGGAGCTCATGGATGAGGGACAGTGGCAGAGCGAAGGCCCGGTGAGGCGGGGCGGGACGGGGGAGGCAGAGCTCCAGAGCGAGGGCTCAGCCCGAAGCCCCGACCAGAACCACAACCGCCTGCTGGAGGAGGGCGAGGAGGTGGAGCAGGGTCCGAGAGGAGGACACAGGACCACCCAGGACTCTACCAACAACAACAACAGCACAGGGGAAGACGAAGAGGAGGAGGAGGATGATGAAGATGAAGTAAGGATTAGCGATTTGGCCAAAGATCTTCTCACAGTGTATTTTTCTATATTGTTTTGTTTTATAATTAGCATTAATTATTAAATTGGTGCTCAGTTTGAACCTGTAGGGCTCGATGATATCGTAGAAAAAATCATGATATAAAACAATATGAATAAAAATCTAAATATATCTTTAACATATTGGTCAGTACTAATGATTATTGATGATAACTGATAATTATTAAATTCATTTTCAAATGAGGTTTAAGTCTGAACTATTTTGAACCTTAATGAAAAGAAAATACTTTTTTGGTGTAATATACAAAATTATTTATTAGCAAGAATACATATAAATAAAAAAGAACATTTTAAGAACATGGCACCTTTCAATATTCAGAACGTTTGGACCTTTCAATATTCAGAACACAGCACTTTAAAAACAAAAATAAATAAAAATTTAAAAAGAAAAAGAAAAAAAAATAAAAGCATAAAATGTGTTCCTCAAAATCAGATACTTTTTTCTCTATAATTTACTATATAATTTATATAATTTCTAATTTTAGTTTTTAGAATTTTTAATTTTTCATAAAAGCTAATTTCCTGCTAACTAAAAATAGCTAGCACTAGCTGACTCTGTTAATCAAAAAAAGCTAAACGCTAGCTAACTGTCCTGCTTGTGTGTGCTGTTGTGAGTGAATGGCTAGACTTCTTCCTCCACGTCTAGAGACTAAAAGACACACAGCGCCACCTGGTGTACTGAAGTAGCAGCTGTTAAAGCCTTTGCTGCTAAAACTGGTTTGAGGAACAGAACAGCATCATAATTATATCAAAAATACCTCAAACATGCAAACTCACAGTAATGAAGAAAGGATTTTGCTAATTATCATTATTGTTTGATCCTTCAGGCCTATGAGGAAGGTTCCAAAGTGGAGGAAGAGGATGACGAAGAGATGGACAGTAACAGCGGAGCCTTTTCTCCGGAGCCGGACGGACAGATCCAGGACTCACCGTCGCCGAGCCCCAGCCCTACAGGTACCACCAGCACCTTCCGCTCGTTACACTGTTCAGCTCTTGTTTATTACACGTTTATATGATCAGTTCTGGGTCTCTTATCGTGCCTGGATTTGTTCATAGTTGGCTAGTCTGGTTAAATAAACACTCGCGCACCCTCATTGCCGGATTACTCGCGTTTGGTGAACTCTGTATTTGTTTATAGTCATTTGTTGCCTCCTCTCCACACCAGTTCTGTAGGTAACACCAGTAACTTGCCTCAATGTTGATCTACTGTTAACTTCCATCAGAGTCCTTATAGGAAAGTCTCTTTACTCAGCAGCCATACAAGCCCAAACTCCTCTCTCTCTGAAAGGAGACAGACCAAAAATGATCAAGTTACAGTTTCAAAAACAGATTTGAAACCACTGATAAAATCTGACTAAATCCTCATGATTAGTTTGTTGTGCATGGCTCAGTAATGAAGTCTGTAAGTAATGAACCTGTTTCCGATACAGTTATCAGGAAAGCCTCAGCGCTTCAGAAAGCTTCGGTTTGCCATCACTAACAGAAATACAGAGCACAAAGTAACAAACTACAGGGTTTAAACAGAGAAACACACAGAGCAAACAAAACAGGTAGACACACAACCACTACACAAGACAAAGAGACAAGCAGACTAGACAGGCATGGACTGAAACAAAGGGCTTAACATACCTACAAACAACAGGGAACACGTGGGAGAGGGAGGAGGCAGGGAATACAAACAGGTGAGGATCCTAATAGGGAAAGGCAGGGAAAAAGGGCGGAGCACAGGAACCAAAACAAAACACAAGCACGTGGCTAAAACGTACATGGCTACAGCACAGGGAAAGAAACAGATGAAGACAGAGGAAACTGTGACAGCAACACAACACACTACGATACACTCTGATGCAATTCAGTACAATACAGTAGAGTAAAATTCAATACAATACTATATGATACACTCATGCAGTTAAGTTCAGTGCAGTGCAATACAATCAATACAATACAATATAAAAATTTAATATAATACTATACAATCCCATTTCCAAAAAAGTTGGGACGCTGTGCAAAATATAAATAAAAACAAAATGCAATGAGGTGCAAATCATTTACACCCTATGTTTTATTGAATATAGTACAAAGACAACTTATCAGATGTTGAAAATGAGAAATTTTATTGTTTTTTTTTTAATA